ATCTTCAGGTGCCAGTCTGGGCCATGAACATCCACATCTGGGGCACTGATGTCCACTTTGGGCCCTTTGATGTCCACATCTGGCACTTTCATTTCACCTTCTACCTTGGGCACAGACACATCCACATCCCCTTTGACTTTGGGGCCTTTCAAGTTTAAGTCCACATCAGGCATGGAGATCTTGGGGCCCTTGAAGTGCATCTCAGGCATCTTAAACTTGGGACCTTTCAGCTTCCCTTCTGGTCCCTCAAGGCTCACATCTGGGGCTTCAACGTCAACCTTGGGTCCAGAGATGTCAACGTCAGCCTTGGGCAGGTTCACATCCAGTTCTGGGCCCTCTGCTTTGAAACTAGGCATGCTGAACTTGGGCATTTTCATCTTGGGCATCTTCAAGCTCCAATCGGGACCCTGCACATCTACATCTGGTGCTTTGATGTCTAGCTTGGGGCCTTTGATATCCATATCTGGAACTTTCATCTCACCTTCTACTTTTGGTGCAGACATATCTAGATTTCCTTTCATTTTGGGTCCTTTAAGATCCAGGTCAACATCTGGAAGAGACATCTTAGGAGCTTTAAAGTGCATCTCAGGCATCTTAAACTTGGGGCCTTTCAATTTCCCTTCTGGGCCTTCAAAGCTCACATCTGGAGCACTAAGATCTATCTTGGGCCCAGAAATGTTCATATCAGCTTTGGGCAGGTTCACATCCACTTCTGGACCCTCTCCTTTGAGGCTAGGCATAGTGAATTTGGGCATTTTCATCTTGGGCATCTTCAGGTTCCAATCAGGACCATGAATTTCAACATCTGGGGCAGTGATGTCTATGTTTGGCTCTTTCAGCTCCCCTTCTAGCTTTGGCACTGTAACGTCATATTCTCCCTTTACCTTGGGACCTTTCATATGCAAATCCACATCTGGCATGGAGATCTTGGGGGTCTTGAACTTGGGACCCTTCAGCTTCCCTTCGGGTCCTTCAATAGTCACATCTGGAACTTCAACATCCACCTTGGGAGCTGAAACATCAATGTCAGCCTTGGGCATTTTCATTTTGGGCATCTTCAGGTGCCAGTCTGGGCCTTGAACATTCACATCTGGAACACCGATATCCACTTTGGCACTCTTAAGTTCAACGTCAGGAACTTTAATCTCACCTTCAACCTTTGGCACTGTAACATCATACTCTCCTTTTACTTTAGGGCCTTTCAAACGTAAGTCCACATCAGGCATCTTAAACTTGGGCCCTTTTAATTTCCCTTCTGGTCCCTCAAGGCTCACATCTGGAGCACCAACGTCTACCTTGGGCCCAGAAATGTCCACATTGGTCTTTGGCAGGTTCACACCCACCTCTGGGCCCTCTGCTTTGAATCCTGGCACACTGAATTTGGGCATTTTCATCTTGGGCATCTTCAGATGCCAGTCTGGGCCATGAACATCCACATCTGGGACATCAATGTCCACTTTGGGACCTTTCAATTCCCCTTCAAGCTTTGGCACTGTAACATCATACTCTCCCTTCACCTTTGTACCTTTGACATGCAAATCTACATCAGGCATGGAGATCTTTGGTGTCTTGACACTTATTTCAGGCAGCTTAATATCAGGGCCTTTAAGTTTGCCCCCAAGACCCTCAATGTTCACATTTGGGGCTTCCACGTTGACCTTGGGCCCTGAAATACTGACATCTCCTTCTGGTAGACTCACGTCTAATTCTGGGCCTTCTCCTTTGACTCCTGGAGTACTGAACTTGGGCATTTTCATCTTGGGCATTTTCAGGTTCCACTCTGGGCCATGAACTTCCACATCTGGGGCACTGACATCTACTTTAGGGCCTTTGACATCAACTTCAGGGACTTTAACTTTCCCTTCTACTTTTGGGAGAGTAACATCCATGCCCCCTTTCACTTTAGGGGCAGCCACGTTTAAGTCTACATCAGCCATAGAGATCTTGCATGTCCCTGTTTTCCCAGAAGGACTACTAAGCGTGGGACCTGTGATTGTCTCCTCTAGGCTGGGTGCTTCTATGTCCACTTGAGGGCCTTTAACATCACCCTGTATTCCAGGAACAGAAACCTTAAAATCTCCTTTCAGTTTAGGAGACCTAAGGCTCAGATCCACATCCTGCATGGAGATTTTAGGCTTCTGAATAATCATTTCAGGAGTCTTGACTTTAGCACCCTTCACCTTCCCTTCCAGACCACCAGGAGCAACCCCAGGCAAGCTGACGTCCCCAGAGACCCCAGGAAGGGTCACTTCACCTGTGGGCAGTGTCACCTCAATGCCAGCTCCTTCTCCCTTAGAACCCGACACAGAAAATGCAGGGACTTTCATCTTGGGCATATTCAGTTTGCCTCCAGCCCCATGAATGTTAACATCAGGGGCTTGAACTTCCACACTGGGACCAGTGATGCTGCCCTCAACTTTGGGAGCAGAGATGTCCACCCCTATGCTCCTCTGTGGCTTGGTACCCTTCAGGCCTAGCTCACCCTCAAGGGATGGCCCAGTGATTTGAGAGCCCTTCAGCTTCCCTTTAAGGCCCTCAACATTGACGGAAGGAGCACTGACTTCTAGCTGGGGGGCCTGGATGCTCCCGCCGACGATCAAACCTGGCTTGCTGTCCTTGTGCCCCACGGAGAACTCAGGTGCAGAAACACTCGGCCCCACCTCTGGTGCCTGGCCCTCGGGCCCTGTTGAGACCCCAAACTTGGGCATCTTCATGGTGGGAATTTTAATTTTCCCGTTATCGCCCCTGTCAAGGGACGGGCCCTGAACATTGACTGCCCCACTCCCAGAAGATGAAACGTCCACTCCTGAAACCTGGACCCCTCCTTTGCCACCCAAGTCCAAGCCCTTGGGACTGACATTGACGCCCTGGCTTCCCACCTTTATCCCAGGCACAGTGACCTGGAGCTTCGAGTGGCCAGCACCTTGGAGCTCTGGTCCCAAAGCAGAAATGGCCCCTGCTTGCATGTCTAAAGCAGAGCCTGTGGTTGGAGACACTGCCCCCGAGCCCGAGGGCAGTCTGATCACTGTCTTCCCAGGCTGGGTCTCCACGTCCATGTGGGAGATTTCAGTCAGCTCATGCCTAGGGATCTTGATCTTGAACTCAGGGCTGCTGATGTCGATATCCTTGGCGCCTTCCCGGCTCGTCACGTCCACAGTGTAGGCTGTGACCCTTCTGGTCACCGTGATGGTGCGGCTCTGGGTCTCTCCAGGGTCCCCTTCCACTCCATCCTCCGACTTCAGCCGAGGCTTGATCTTGGTGTTGTAGATGCGCTGATACTCCTCATCAGCCCCGCTCTGCAGAAAGACACGCACCGGCACAGGTTGCAGCAAAGCCCGCCTGGATCGCCAGACGCCTGGCCACAGCCCAACCGACAACACGGTTGCCTGTCTCCCAGAGAAGCAGGAACCATAACGCAGGTCCTTGGAGCCTCCCAGGACAGAGCGCAAGGCACAGAAAAAAAAAGAAGGGCTGACAGCCACATCACAGGAGGAAAACAGAGATTACTGGGGGAAATTCTGGTAAGCAGAAGCCATAGGGAGTGCAGGGCCTGTCAACTCCTAAAGTGTGCGAGCGCTTACAATCAATTATGCATTCAAATGGCCCTCCTGAGTCCCAGGGACCCTCCCAGGCCACAAGCTCCCGGGAGGATTCCCTCCCTGTTAAACAAGCCAACCAGGGAGTTGGGAGCACCATGTGGACTTGACCCTTCAGCTCCCAACTCCCTGACTTGTTTGATTAATGGGGCGGGAATCCTCCCAGGAGCCTTTGCACCTCACAAATACATGAGGAGCCTAAGAGACTGGTTGTATGTGGATCAACACTTTCACTCTGAGGATCCATTGTTTGTTAAATAAACAAGCCAGGAGGAGTAGCAGAGAGGCCCCTACAGGCCAAAATCCAGGAGAGAAAGGGTGTCCTCAAGGCAGGGTGGGGCACCTGTGAAGTCATTTCAAAGACTCTTACAAAGCAACTGGCCTTCCTCCTGGCATCTTTGCCCGGGCTGCATGAGTCATTCCCACACGATGGGTCATCTGGGCTCCCTGAGGAGACTGCAGAGCCTTTAGGGGTAGCATCAGCCATAAGCCACACAGGAGTAGGAAGAAACAGCCTGGCCAAGAGGACTGAAAGGAGAAGGAACTACGAGAGAGGCCCAAGTAGACGGACAGAGGTCTTACTTAGCGGGACCAGCAGGCTGGTGTAACAGGGAGTTCAGGCAGCAGAGGGGCCAGCGAAGACTCACCAGAAGCACTTCAGAGCTGTGGGAGGTGAAGGTTCCGTGGGTCCAGGTCTGGCCAGGCTCGGGGGAGAGGTCCCCCTTGCGGTGCAGCTTCAGGCCCACGGTGTGGTGTCCCATGGTGTTCAGCAGCTGGGTCACCTCGCCTGACTGCAGGTTGTCAAAGTAGATAGTGGCACCCACAATCTGGTCCCCTGAACAGGGAGGACCAAGAAGTAGGTAAGACCCCTGTGGTAGTTAAGGTTTTGTGTCAACTTAGCTGGGCCTGGTTTTGAGTGGCTGGGCAGCTGGGTATAGTTCTTCCCCATGATGAGACTGGTCATCAACTCCATGGTGGCATCCGCAGTGCAATAAGCAGTTGAGTAGCTGCCTTAGGGACGTGGTCTGCTCCCAACGTATAAGGAAAAGCTTTAGGAATGGCCTGTAGCTTGTCGGCACACTTGAACCCTGCTTGTAGCCAAGTTGTTGTTCAACAGCCTGCCACGCCCTGCCAGTCTTGGGACTCTCTATCAACTAGAATCAGTCCACTGTCGTGTGGTTTGCTAATATTGGGACCGTGCCTTTTTACTTGTCGACCTTGGGTTTGCCAGCCTCAGCAGCCAGCAGCTGCCTGAGTGAAGAGACGCCTCCAGCTCCATCTTCAGTGGGCTGGGAGCAGGCGGCAAAGCTGAAGCCCAAGGTTGAGGGGTTTTCACCCAGCCCCCAGAGCTGGCACTTTGAACTTGAACTTTTAGTCTCCAAAACTATATGAGAATAAACTCCTGTTTGTTCAAGCCATCCACCCAAACAAAGTAACCAAAACAAGCCCCACCAGGGCCTCAGGGAAGCAACACACGTGGGGTCCTCCAGCTCCCTTGCATTTAATTGTCATGACCATCCTGCAAGGAAGCTGCGGTAATACCCATTTTACAGATGAGGAAATTGAGAATTAGAGAGGCCAATTTGTTTGCTCAAAGCCATAGAGCTACTGAGCGATGGAGTCAGAACTCAGGACCACTCAGGGGCTCTCTACTTTTCCTGTTACCTGCCTTCCCCAGAACCATGACTAAAGGACACAGAGGGGACAATGGAGAGTAGGGCTTAGGGACCACCCTGACGCCACTGGGACCTCCCTCCACAATTACTCACCCACTTCTGCCTGCTCCCCACCCTGCCCGCCCTCCACCACCCTCGATCTCCCCCAGCACCCAGGCGGCACCCCATGGTGACTCACCCTCCTTGACCACCCCAGTGCGGGCCGCAGGGGAGTTCTGCATCACCTCCTGTACGAAGACACCGTCGTCCCTCTGGGCGATGGTCAGCCCGTGGCAGCCGCTGCCCTGCCAGTTAGGCAGTAGCAGCTCCCGGGTCGCCTCCTCCTCCTTCTCCATCTGGGGCGAGGTAAGGACAAGCAGTCAGGGCGGTAGGGACATACGGGCACGACGGTGAACAGGCCAGGGATCCCGGCACTGGGGACGTGCAGGGAGGACACATTCTCTCCAAGTGCCTACTCCTGTAGAGGAGTGTGGGGGTGCAGTGGGGGTGGAGAGGGGCTGGATAAGCCATCACATGCCTTCCCCTGCGTGAGTTGTCCAAGCCACCACGGAGAATGGGAAAAGGACAGGCAATGAAATTGGCCGCAGAGGGCCCTCATCTCTTCCGCCCCCGGGGCCCTGCGTCCAGACGCCCGTGGGTCTCCACCCCTCCATCCCGCATCCCCTCCACCTCTCCATCACCCTCTCTCCTACTGACCTTTTGCAGGGCTCAGTCACGAGCAAACGCCTGGCCAGGAGCCCGCCCCTCCTTCCTCTCTTCCCTTCAGTCTCTCTCGTCCTCGTCCTCGGGGAATCTCCGTCACACAGCCTAGGGGAAAGTTCATGATGACGTGAGTCTGACAGTCAGCTTGCTTGAAACCCTGCTCAGCGCCACCAAGGAACGGCCGAGTGTGATCCCCTGGGCCAGATCACAGCCCAGGCCCCTCTGTTCCCGCCGTGGGTGCTGCTCCCGGGTGACTTTCCAACCCAGCATCATGGAAAGGGCCAGTTGTTGTTGTTGTTATGTGCCGTGGAGTCGGACCCGACTCACAGCGACCCCTCCTTGGGTTTCCAAGGCCGTATCACTATGGAAGTAGATTGCCCAACCTTCCTTCTGAGGAGTGGCTGGTGGGTTTGAACCGCCAGCCTTCTGATTAGCAGTCAAGTGCCTTAGGCACTATGCCACCAGAGCTCCCAGGAAGGGCCAGACTCAGATTCAAATCCTGACTCGGCCTCCTTCTAACTGTGTGATCCTAACCAAGTCACTTAACTTCTCTGGACCTCTGTTTCCTCATCTGTGAAAAGGGAGATGATTGATGATTTCTAAGAGAAGTGAAAGAGAGACAGACTGTGTATGAAAAGCAGTGGCTCCTACGAGTCTAACGACATGTACACTCTTCGCAGAATCTTTACGACACTTCCGGAGATATTAAAAAAAAAAAAAAATTGTCATCAAATCAACTCTAATCATAGCAACACGATGGGTGTGAGAGTAAAACTGTGCTCCCAACAGCTGATTTTTCACAAGGACATCACCCGGCCTTTATTCTGATGTGCCCCTGGATGGACCTGAACTTCTAACCTCTCAGTTAGCAGCTGGGTGCACTGGCCATATGCATCACGCAGGGGCTCCAGGGAGATGTTATTGCCTCCACCTCACAGATGAACACTGAGGTTCTGAAAGGCCAACTTGCCCGGGGCACATGACAACAGTTGAACTGTGCCTAGCCTCAGACCTAACCTGTAACTCTTTCCTCTGTCCCCTCTCACGTCTGCAGCTTTTAACTGGTCTGAGACTCTCTGAGGGGGTCTCCAGGATGGCGGGGGGGGCGGGGAGGAAGATGTAGCTGGTAGGCCTGCAAGCAGGGTTCCTAACACCCTCCCCTCCCCCAGGGACCATGCCAAACAGTGACTCCGGGTCACCCTGTCTAACCCGAGCCTCAGGACAGGGGACCCTCACCAGCCGGGAACTTTAGGAACCTTGCCACAGGCAATGGCTCAAACAAGGAAAGCCCCTGCCCTGCCAGGCACCGGCCGAGCCCGAGGGTGGAGTACAGCTGGGTCCGCCTCAGGACCAGGTGAGTCAAGGCCTCTCTGGCCGCCCACGCTGGGCCCTGCAACCAGGGCCCCTCGGTGCAGACCACAGGGTGAGCTGTCAGCTGCAGAAGCGCCCTGGGAAGGCACCAGGCAGGGTTGTGGATAGGGCCATCAACTACAGCCACCCACACAAAATGGCGGCAGCCAGCACCATCTCAAAGCATGCCTAAGGATCTGTGCGTGCGGGGGACACAATAAATCACGGGGAACCCCACCCAAGGCCCCACCCCAAAGCTAGAAATTCATCACCAATCAATAAATGCATGCATACTGATTGCCTCTGCAGAGAAACTAGAGCAGACAGACACACGACATCAAACGCTGTGTTAAACTGTTACCTAACTTCACTCATGCCCCCTCTATACATTTACTGAACGCCTTCCATGAGCCACAGACTGGAAATACGGGAATTTAAGAGACTTGGTTTCTGCCCCAGATACAAATGATGGGCAAGGTATTCTGGGCTTGACCCGTTCAGCTTCAGAATGTTCCAGAAGGCTTGAGAGCCTTCAGAGAGGATGAAATGTAATGGGGTTTTGAAGGCACTAGAATTTGCCTCCAAGGACAGGGCTGTGTCTTCTTGGAAATACACGGACAATTAGCAGTTCCGATCTCGGGCAGATCACAAGCCAGGTGAAAGACACACACATAGGTCTCCAGGCCCCCCGCCACCTGTCTGACAAACACATAATGTGGTTATTTATGATGTGCATGTTGTTTCAACACAGGTGCTGGCTAGAAGGCGAGCGAAGAAACTGAGAGGTATGTGGCCTGTTGGCACAGGTGTGAGCCGAGAAAACACAGCGGAGGCCGCTACAGGAAGTCATGCTGACTGCTGACCGTTCCCAACGTGAAACAGCAGAGCTGGGCTTTAAATGGTGCCTTCCCCTAGAATGTAGCTCTAAGACGTCAGCCCTGCTGATAAAGAGCCAGGCAAGGGCAGGAAAAGAGAGAGGCTTCCAGCCAAGGGCTTCTCTGGGTAGCAGGGCAGCCACCCATGGCCCTGGCACTCCCCTCTTCCTCCTTGTGCAGGGCCCCTCTGGTGCTGAGCCAGCAGCCAGCAGCAACCCTCGCCCACATCTCGGCCCCACCCTCCCTCCTTCTCCAATGAGTCACTGTGGCCGCAACAGCTCCAGACATGCAGAGATAGGGTCACGCCCAAAACCTGATTGACAAAGGGCTTCGTCGGCCAGAGGGCTGGGGCTGGGGCGGGAGGTAGCCCAGTCAATCTGCTCCCCAACCATCTCTTCCAGATGGAGCCCCAGGCCAGGAGTCCCCATGAGCTTGGGGAGAACTCCTTGCTTCCGGGACCCCAGCAACTTCTGAGAAAGGAGAAGGTCATCCCAAGCAGAGAAGAGTCCACAGCCCTGGAAAAACAGGAGCCCTCAGCCCTGGCAAGCAACCAGCTGGCTTCTTGGCCACAGGGGCTCCCGACCACGCAGCCTGCCCCCTGGCTCAGGCCCCGCCTCCTGGCACAGCAAGAGGGACTCCCCCTCCTCTGATCTGGGGCATTCAGTCCTAAGGCTGTAAGTGAGGGTGCTGATGGGGGGTTTGAGGCCCTGTTTTCTGCATTCAGGTGCCATCTCTGTCTCTCCTCCAGCCCTGGGACCTGTTCCAAGCCCAGACGGTCCTTCCTTGTCCCACACAAGTCTCCCACGCTCCCACACAAGGCTTCCCTAGGGCTGGGGCTCTGCTCAGCTGTTACCCAAAGAAGGGTCTTTGGAACTTTGGGGAATTCTGCACCATTCAGCCAGAAGTCATCAGCCCCCACAGCGAGAAGAAGCCTTAGAGCTGTGTTGTCCAACGTGGTAGCTGCTAACCAAAAACAAAACCCCACTGCCATGGAGTTCATGATGACTCACGGAGACTTTGTGGGTTACAGAACACAACTGTTCCATTGAGTTTTCCTGGCTATAAACTTTACAGCAGAGTCCCTGGTAATGCAAACAGATAAGAACTCTGCTATTATCAGGAAGGTTTGCAGTTTGAACCCATCAGAGGCACCTAAAGGAGTGCTGATGGTGCACTGCCTAAGGCACCTGATGCTAACCAGAGGTTGGCGGTTCAAACCCACCAGCCACTCCTCGGAAGGAAGATGGGTCAATCTACTTCCGTACAGACTTACCACCTTGGAAACCCAGTGGGGGTTGCAATGAGTCAGAATCGACTCTATGGCAGTGGGTTTGGTTTTTTGGCTTTACAGACATCTGTGAAGATAAGCCTGATTGGTGCTCTGCTTCGGAAATGACATAGCCTTGGAAGCCCTATGGAGCCACTCTACTCCAACACACGTGGAGTCATCGTGAATCAGACGAAGACAGCAAACAAAACACCAGTCCTTCCAGAAGCTGAGCAGGCCCCTCGTCCGTGGTGCTGAGTAGGGTTAGGCCACTGACCTTTGGGTTAGCAGCCCATTGCAAGCTGTTTGTGCCACCCAGGGCCCTGGACACTAGTGCCTCCTTAAATCTGAGCTGATTAAACGAAATCAAAATTTTAGTTCCTCAGTTGCCTGAGTCCCATTTCAAGTGCCTGACAGCCACATGTGGCTAGTGGCGACCACACAGGACACAGAGCTACAGACATGTCCATCACTGACTGCAGAACATTCTAGTGGACAGCCTGGCCCACCAACAGATGGGGAAAGTGAGGCCAGAGAGGTGAGAATGGGAGAGTTCCAGGGCCCTAGAACCCAGGTCTGCGAGCTGCCAGGCCCCTGGTGCACCCCATGCCTGCTCACAGCGTCCTTCGTGACAGGAAGGAGCATGGCTGGAGTGGGGACCTCCAGAGGCCAGAGGTTGCTTTGAGAGCAGAAAAGGAGTGAAGAGGCAAGGTTGCTCCAGCTGCAAGGCCAAGAGGACGCCTATGTGAGACTGAGGGGACAGAGAGTAATTCAAGCCAGAAGCCTCGAGGAAGGAGCAGGGCTGTCCTGTGGATTCAAAGCCACAAGGAGGGTTTGCAGAGCAGAGGCCTCTGTCCACGCCCACCTCTGTGGATTGGGGGTGCCGTGTGGGCCGATCCAACAGAAGCCCAGGAAAGGGCGGACACCTCTTCCAGGTGCCACCCCCAGAAGGGGGGCTTTGCTTCTGTGAACGCACCACCAGCAGCACCACCCCCGCCCCTGGGGACTGCCCCCCACTCGGGAGAACCAGCGGGAGGACAGCCAGGGCAGTTCAGTCTAGCTGCTGGAGCAGCCTGCAGCCAAGGTCAGTGTCGAGATGACAGGAACTGATAGGCACACACTCCCTGAGAGACAGCCCCAT